GTCGGTCAATTCTTTCTGCGATATCGTAGGTCCCGAGATATTATTGAAAATGGTTTCTAGTCCATAGTTGACTTCATCGTTATGTTTAATAACTAGTTGATTACGAAACACGTTTACAGCAACTTTCACTGATGGGATTAAGTGTTGTTTTGAGCTTTCATTGGTATGAACCGTAGCATTAAAGAATTTGTTTCCTTGTTGATGGCGATCTGGCTAAACAGCCGTCTATGATGTTTTCTCTACCGGGTTTTTATTCTAATTGATAGTTAAATTTTACGAAGATGGCTTTCTATCTTTTTTATTTCTGGTTGATGCTTTTAATGCTTAAGGTACACGCCAGTGGTTGGTGATTCGTGTAAATGTTGACTTTCCTCGATCCGTACATGTAGTTGCACAACGTTTTTAGTGATCATATTATAGCTCTAATATTGTTCTCGTTTATAGTGTAGGTTATTTTGTTTTATTCAGTTGCTGGTTTCCTACCCTGAGAAAAACTGCTCCTATAACGAAATTGAACCCATCTATCGTAAGCTCAAAATGTTTATCAAAATTGGGGTAACTTACTACAAAGAATACCCAGTATAGAGGGTTTTTTAGGTGACTGAAGGAATCCATCTATTCTTTCCCTAACCTTTTCAAGTTGTGTTTAGAGGCTTGTTTAGATACGCGCCCATCCGCCCGTCTCAAAGGCTTGTTAGGGGCAAGCTTAGCAAAGTCGTTAAAGAACTTCTATAGTAGCCTGTCATTCTTAGCAATGATCGTAAGTCCTTGAGATTTTTTGGTGGAGGAAAATCTGCAATTGCTTGAATTTTGTTGAGATTAGATTTAATTCCATTTGTCTCAACTATGAAACTGAAAAATTTGACTCGTGTTTTTGAAACATGCATTTGTCAAGCTTAACCTTTAGGTTAGCTTTTTCGTGCTTTCCGAATAAGATTACTGAATATTACGATGAATATTGTGATATAAACAATGCCTATCTTTCCGATATACTCTCTTAGAAGATCATCGAGAGTTCTTTGGAATATTAAAGGGACACCTTTTAAGCCAAACGGCTATCGGATACGTTTCTATTTAACGTCGTCAACTGAAAAGATGGCTTTTTGGATGTCGGATTTCCTAAGCGGTATTTGGTGAAAACTACTTTTACGGTCGACCATGGAAAAATACCTGTTTCTGCCAAGACTCCTAACTTATTTATTTCAGGAATTGGCTATTTGTTGAGTATGGCAATTTCGTTTAACTTGCGATAATCCAACACTATTCTATATTTTTTCTGACCGAATGAGTTCACTTTTTTTGGAACAATCCACACGCATGAATTGTACGGGGAGTTTGAAAGTCTAATAATATTATCTTAGAATAATTCTTTTATTTGGTTGTCTACGCCTTCTTTCAAACCCATTAGGTAGCTTCTAGAGTAGATTGGCTGATCGGACATTGCATACATTTCTCTTTGATCCGAAAATAGAGTTGGAATGTCGATTATTCTGTTCTTCGAACAAATAGGAAGTGCGTAACTTAATATTGTTAACGTAGCTTCAAATGTACTATTTCAAACAAATTTTAGTATTTGGATCTATTGTTGTAAAGTTAAGATTGGTATGAATCGCGGCATTGAGTTCTCTCAATGACTTGCTACCAATAATACCATCGAACAATTTAAGACTTAGTAAAATGAAAAATTTGAGTTTTCCGTTATTTGGGAATAGTTGCATATAAGCGTCATGCGTTATTTTAATATTGCCGCATACGGAACTTGCTAAAAAGGGTTTCTCGCTTGCAATGGGTTTCCTTAAAGGTTTAGATTGAAAATAATTTTCGTTCGCCGCTGTGTCTATTAAGAATTTTAAGATATCTCCGCCGCCATTTATGTATTCGAAATAAGGCAGTGAAGATTGTCTTAGTCTAAAAACTAAATATCTTGAAATATCTATTTGATGGAATTTTCAATCAATTCCGTACCTTCATCCAATGTTTGGTCTGAATTTGCTGCCGCCGTGTTTTCACCATACTCGTCCTGTTCGCACGTCGTGTTGGAGGACCTCTGTTGTTCGGGAGTTATTCTTTGGACTTGCTGTGAAGATGCATGTTTCTGTGCGTATGTTTGGTATTCCATTTGGTGGTCCATTGGTTCATCGCGTCATTGTTGTTTTGGGGACAGCGCTGGTCGTTACTAAAATTGCCGGTATTGACAGTTCCGTTGAAATGTTGGTTGGTATGCCCTTGAATGATTGGTCCCCTAATGATTTTGTGCCTCAACTGAGGTTGCCCTTGATATAATTTTTGCAAAATTTGAGGGGGTGTTTGTTGTTCGTAAAATAGTTTCCTAACTTCTGCAATTCATTGGTAATTCGTTATTTGAAGTAAAGGTGAAGTTATGTTCCTCCGACTTTTAGTCTGGCTAATATTGGCATACTGCGTCCTGTAGTTCACATTCAGAAGATTTAGGCGGAGGTGTGATGTTTGTGGAAAATCCGTTGATTCGCCCATACTGAGCAAACAAGGTAAGTCGCCTCTAAGCACTCTATTGAATGTGTCCAATTACTCACTCCCGAGCATTCCTTAGTTTTTATAAAGGAGAAGTCGGTTGAGTCCACGTCCGCTTTCGTCGTTAATTCTAAACACTTTTCGCATGTACACTTTCTCACCGTATGTTTGTATATTAAATATTAAACATTTTGGAATTAACCCAAAAAAAGCCGAATTTATTTATTACATAAAAGAGATTTATCTGAAAATGCCAAAAATAAAAGCGACCAAGCACAGAAAAGTCTAAATTGAAAATTTTTTTGCGTGTGCGTTTATATATAATTGTTTAAGCAAACGTTGGTACAATTGCACACAAGTATTTCAGCTTTTGCGCGAATCCACTCACGCGCAGCTCTATTCAAAACGTCATAGACTAGCATATACATGTTCGTAGTGTAATCTTTGAAATATTTATCGTACAACTTTCCGTAAATGGTCTCATTTCAACTCTTTTAGTCTCTTTTACGGTTTTTAATATCGTTTGTTTATTTTGGATGCCTTAGGATAGTACTTAATAATTTTGTTGCGCAAATGTTGCCAGTTAAATGTCCTTTCTCATAAATATTTTTTTTGCTGTGAATAGTTAGTCAAGTCAGAGGTTTTCCATATTGTAAAACAATTTTAAAAAGCTGGCTCAAGTTTGGCATTAGTCACACACGCTAGAATTTCAGTTAAAATAAAAAATAAATATCTTAAATTAAAAATAAAACCAGAAAGTCTTTATTTATTTATATAATACTTTTGCCACGTAAATGTTGCTATCGAAATGTCTTGTCTTATACAGGTATACATAATGTTATTGGCTTGCAATGTTGTCTGTGCTCAAAGCGGATTTTGTGGTTTCGAGCCTTCGTATAAGCTTATAAACATAACTGACCGCATATGTTCGACACCATACCAATCAATGGCGTAATTTATGCAGCCTTCTTTGCATTATTCTTTCTTTCGACTATAACAAAACGAGAAATAAAAGCGAACGTGAAAGTTGTGCGTTTAATAATCTGGTTTATTCTTTTACAACATACTTCTTTGCTTGCGAACCAACGATGATATACTTCGTATGGCTGTTGATGGGTTGAAGGACAACTTAAAAATTTCCAATATAATCTAATATAATAATTAATCTTATAGAAACAAACAATATGAAAGAACTTAGGAAGAGAGTAAAGAACTGAAATGAGCACATTTATTGAAGTTTGTGCACAATGCATGTGGAAGATTACACTAAGAACATGTAGAGTATATGTTATATCAAAAATATTAGTGGGCACCCGTGCATATATTTGCTTAAGCAATTCAACGTATTCAAAACGTTATATACATAAAAAGGGACATTTCGTTAGCAACAAAATATCTTGCACTTTAAATGCTTATGCAAAGCTCAATGCTTTACTATTTTATGTTACGGCAATTTGACGACCAATTGATTTTTCGATGACTTTGGTAATACGTTTGTATTAAATACAAATTTTTGCTGTAGGAATTATCTAGCTCGATCGTATATAAAAAATTAAACGATTATCCGTATATAAATTGCGTTGATTTATGCATAGTCTGCGCTAGATATCCAAGCGTTGCTGTAGATTCATTTTCAATTTTAGTTTGTTTTCTGCTGTCTTGATAATATAATGCTATGAAAAGTGCACAAATCTAGCAGCTAAGGTAATAATGTTCGCCTGTAATCGAATCTTCTATTTCTACCACCGTTATGTCAAAACAGAACATGTATTTTTGTAATATTGTGCTTTATAAATATAAATAATAATCAATATAATAATATAATAATAATAATAATAAATATAAATAATAAGCAAAAACACAATTTTTTTTGCTTATAACAGTATTTTATGTTATACATGTGGGCACATTTTTTAACTGATTTCGCCCATTCTCCATATTACCATGTGTGCAGCAACTTGATATGTTTATGCAAATTTGAAGCCGGTACTTTTGGTATTTTACGAAAAGGAGTATATTTGTAAAGACAAACAGAGGGGCAGGCGACCATGTTTAAATCGATTCAAAATTTGATACTGATCAAGAATATATATACTTTATGAGATCAGGGAAAATTTGTTCTTGATATTGTAAACATTTTAACAAAGTGAGCATACCCCCATTCTTCGGTGGTGGGTATAGTAAAAATAGAATTTGATAATACATTGTACTATAATTACTCTAAATTTATTCTTGTTAAAAGCAGACATATTTCGCATGTATAAATAATATCTTTTTTTTTTTTACTTTTCATTTGATGTATGTTTATGTATGTAAATCTTTGTACTTCCCACTGTGTATATATAACACCTTAAAAATTTATATGCACAATCGCACGATTTGTGATGCTTGCTCGATACCGGCACTTTATCTTTTTTATGATGTTATGATATTTTACAATTTGGGATGCGTGTCTTTGTTTATACGACCATGATAATTGTGCATCATTCGCTTTTGCACATAATAAAAAGATGTCGGCGAAATTTCGGCCACAGACAACGGATTGAAATTAACTAAGGGTGAGTAGCATCACTTTCTTTAAAAATTACACAAAACTTTAAAAAGACAACTTATGTGATTGTTTAAAATAATAACTTTTAACCGTCCGTTTGTATCTTAGCAAAAAATTAAGGCGCGAAAAATGTTTAGTAATTAAGGGGCGAAGCCACTGTGCACTTTTTTAAATTTTTTAAATTGTATTATTAATTAATGATCAAACGTAACGTCCTTTTTACTTACTTACTTGTAACTTCTTTAATACGCTTGAGAGCATTTATGCTGATTTAAAGGCAATAAATAAACAAAAAGCACGTTAGTGTAGGTTCGTGGAAGCGATCATTGAATAAACTTGATCCTGAACACACGAAGTGTTGGTTAAGATGCAGATGCAGAATAACTCCGCAATGGAATTCTGCGTTTTTTTTGGCAATTTTCTTATTATTTCGCTACACATAAAGTCTAAAACCGGCACAAAAGAGGTATATCCGAACCCTTAATCTTCGAGAAGAGAGATATGAAAAAAAATGTTTGAATTTTGAAGGCTAGTTAGATTGTCTTTGGAGATAGAATGTTAATGGAAAGATATAATAAAAAATGTATGATAATAAAAGAACGTGTCTGCCAGACGTTTCAAAACTATAACCACTTATTTTCGACTCAAATCCTGCATTGTCTACTCCCTTCATCAAAATTTTTTATTATGTCCTCAAAATACCTTTTTCTAGATAAGTATGTGGAGCTTACTTTCAACTTAAGTTAAACATTATTTGTCATTAAAAAATTGCCTTGGTCAAAAATTGAACTTTCAAACATTCATATATAAATTCAAATATTAAAATTTCAAATATTATGCTTACCAATCATGTAATACTTTTACAAAACCCCACGTATTCCCCTAGCTATAAACGTTTAAAATAAATGTTACAATACACAATACGTTCTATTTTAATGCCAAAATAGCTGGATTCATAGTTTAATTAAATTAAAATACAATTGATTACTAGAAAATACCATATTGACTAACAAAGAATTCACGATATATGATTAAGTCAACATAGGCAAAACGTCTCCGCAAGCCATTGGAAAGTGATTAACCATTAAAGTTGCAGATGGTGGAATGTGAATTTTTTATTTTACTCAACCAACCATTGAGTAGACTTTAACATACACATAGAACAAGTAACAAGTTTGGAAATCTTCAAAATTGCATGCTCAAAGGAGGATTCTTCTAAATAAGAGCGGTCCTGTACTATTGCCTTGAGGAACTCCATACGTAATTGAAATATTTCTCGATTATCTAAAATTATACAACACATATTGATTACGACGAATCCCTAGCGAAAACAGATGTAAAGCTACTATTTTTTAATATATTTTAAAACTCATTCATTTAATACTTAAGTGTATGCTTAATAACCTCTATTATTTTTCCTTCTATCTCAAAAAAGATATGAAAAAAGCTTTTTTTAGGCTGAACCCTTAGCCAAAAAGTATGCTCTTCCAGATTTCTAATTTTTATTTACAATCAAAACTAGCACTGTGTATGAAAAACACATATTATTTATTTTAAAACTACAATAAAAGCACCGCGTGGAGCATTGAAAACGTTAATTAGTCCATTGAGATTATAAAGTTGCAAACAGCAAACAACAAACTGCAAAATGGGCTATAATGTGAAAGTTATGGTCTTAAAAGAAGGATCACAGCAACTACGCCATCGTATATATGTATATATGTAATTCGTCTTTACCCTCACCCACTTATCATTATTTTATATCATGGTATGTTCAACCAATGACATTGAATTACATAAAAGTTTTGCGTATTAAACGGTTGCTATTTTAATTTTATTAAAGCGTCTTTTAAAATCTATACCTTGTCGAACTTGTTTCCATGACAGCCTTCTTAATTTGACTGCAATCTATGCCTACTGAGCTCGTTGTTTGTCTAATAGTGCGTTTATTATTATTGTTATTATTATTATTATTATAAATTTACCCAGAGAATAAATTCTAAGACTAAAGTGTTCAAGCACTTGCATCGAAGGCTTTCGGCACTATACCGCACTTGAGATTTGAATCCACGGCCATTGAGTTGCTAGTCGAGACTCTTGCCTACTCAGCCAAAAAGACGGATAACAGTGCGTTTACAATCAGATTGTTTCACCAAGCTCGTCAAGTCATTCCTCTTCAAACTACTGGCGTTTGCATTGCACTCAAACTGTTAAGATATTTGTTTTTACGTATACAAGATGAATAATGAAAGTAAATATAGAAAAAAAGATTTTTTTTATCTATTTAAAATACTTAACTTATCCTTCTTATATCACTCTGATGTCGGATTTCATAACCAACGGTTTTCTAAAACCGTTTTTTTTTTTTTTGAGCAAGAAGAAAACGTTAAGGTAAACTCTGTTTTTTTCTCGTAAACAAAATTTAATTTTAAGTTTACTGAAATTGCGGTTTTTCATTGACTTCATTTGACGAAACATGACTTTCTACCTGCGCGCAGATAAAATCAATGAAATCGCTCTTGCTGTAAGCGTACTATTACCTATAGAAATGAGTAATCAGACCTTCTTATATAATTAAAAATATATCCTTAAACGATGTAGACACTTTTGAATTATTCTGCAAAGACAAATAACATTATCGAAGCTCAAACAATTCAAATTACTTACGGTGACTGATCATTTTTCATGTTCAAATTCTTACTACACTTTCACTATAAAATGAAATCATCTTGCATAGGAAAATTACTCTGTTTGTCATTAGTGATTTAGTCTGCGTGTTAACCGACGAATTGCAAATAAAATGAAATAAAAATGTTCTTACTTTTTTATCTACGTAAAAAACAAATACTTTATAAATTTTATTTTTTATCTATACAGCTTCTAGCACTAGCGATTTGTCCTTTGTAATTGGTACACAGGTAAAGGATGTTTCCGGTTTACCAGATCCTGCCGATCCGAAATCACCACAACTATTGGTAACTTATTATAGTTATATATATATATATAAATATATATATATATATATATATATATATATATATATATATATATATTTCTTACTTCAAACGCATTATACTCACATTTTCGTTCATTTCTTTTATTTGTGCAATTAATAACGAACTTTTAGCCGAGCCATTATTGACTTATATTTACGAGCACAGCTAATATCCTTGAAATGTCGTTTTTCTAAAGGCCAACAACTTAGGAGGGTTTCCCTACATGCGTAGGGACAGTAATACTTAGGAAGGTTTATAGATGGAGAAGGAGAAAAGAGAGTGTGATGTTATATAGGAAAGACCTGTACTGGTGGGTTGTGTTAAAGATGAACAAACCAACTAAAGAACCAAAAGTCGCGGCGATTGGCTGTACTAGCGCACAAATGGGCAGACCGCTGCATACGCCGAGTTGTCGTGGCAGCGGTAGTAATGAACAGATATCACACGTACATGTTTGTCATCAACTTTCAGGCAAGACTTTGAAGATTCCGTGTACGCAAGCGAGTTGTGCTTTCACTTTGAAAGGTGATAAACTTGGAAATGTTTCGAAAATCGATTAGAGTGCAGTATTTCTTACATTTGTTTTAAGACTTGATTGCTTATTTCGAGACTTCGATCAGATGCTTTGTTCAACGGATGTCATATTGCTGATTATTTGGCAACAAAAGGAAAGTCGACGTTCATCAATCGCTCTGAGCGATGAAAAAGAGAACTGACTTGGCATTTAAGCTTATCATTTTTATCCAAGGGCACGGTGATATTTTGATGAGATCTTGATTAAATATAACCATTCACATTCGTTTTTTTGTTTTCGTATAGTCGTGCTGCGTGGTCCTTTATTCAAAGAGAACGTTGGAATTCTCAAAATTTTGGGTAGAAAACTGAAAGATAATTCATATATTAATAGGGACAGACCAATTAAGGTTAGGTATACGATAAAATCGTCAAAAATCTTAAAATTAAAGGATTTCACGTACAGCTAATTGGATAAATATTGGATAAATATATCAACTAATTAAGATTAAATTGGTAAGTTTTTATGCATGCCTTTGTCTCTAGGCTGTATAATAATTTCCATATGCAACGCAAACCTCCCTAGCAGATTTATGTTGGATTTGTTCTTTAAAAAATCAATTTTTTTCATTCTGCGAAATTAATCTGAAAACTTTTATATCGTATATTTTCTGTAATATTATGGCGATACTGCTTTCGAGGACTTTGTTAGTCAGAAATGAATGTATATAGGAATTAATATTAGATTCTTCATGGTGTCCCAGCTTGAACTTTGTTTTCAGTAAGCTTTTTTCGTCAAAATGTTTTACCGTTTTGTTGAAACTATGCTTCGAAGACATTCAAATCGTCTATTTCGACTTAAGAACAACGAGTCAATGATGCTGCTTCGTAATCCAACATTATAAACTATCATTATATGTCCCGCCGACAACCCCTCTCCTTATTGGCACTTAAATCGAAAAGTATGTGACATTAAAAAATATTCATTTTAGGGAAAGCACATGAAACTTAGTAGACTTGAAGTAGGCTTGCAATAATTGCATTCTCAATGATTTCATTGCGCTTTTATATGCTTTGTTATTTATTACCCTCTTATTCGTAGACAAATTCGTTGCGTAAATCGAAGTATAAACATGATGATCCAGCCGCTTTATATAAAGGACCCGGCGGTGTTGAATTATCGAAGGATGTATTAAATGATTTAACGCAATTTACACGTAAACGTAGTCATGCAGTAATTGATGTTTGGTGGTTATACGATGACGGTGGTCTCACTTTACTCTTACCATACATAATAAGTACACGTCGTACGTGGCAGTCCTGTAAATTACGGTATGTACTTTTACAGGTATGCAAGTATTAAATTCGTTCATCAAAGTAGATTGAAGTTTTATCCATCTGATTTTACGCCGATGCAAACATTTCTGTAAAAGGTATCTGTACTCAGATAAAAACGCAGTGTTTTTTTTACTTTATGTGTATATAAAAGACTGCTTCAATGGATTTCATTCAAGTATAAATGAATTGCAGCCAAGTACAAGTTCCGTAGATTGAAATACAGCACTACTGAGTCAAGTGACCTTCGCAATACTAACCACGTCAATCCCGCGATGGTTTTTACATTATGGTAGGCCGGCTATTAAATACATCACAGTAGTTCACCCAATACAATTCTTTATTTTCGTAATAAAATACCAGAAGTACACCTTGATTTTGTGTGACCACCTATACGGCGTTTGGTCCAAATAATAGATCTATGTAGACTTAAATTTTTGCTAGTAATCTCTTGAAATTGATATTGTCAACCAATTTTCATCATAAACTATCAAAAAGAAGATCTTATTGTTTATGATAACCTTTTATGGTGTGAACCATAAAAAATAGCAAAATAAACAAAAAAAGTTGTTACGTTGTTAGAACACTAATTTTCACTAACTAAACTAAATTAAGGGAAGTTAATTTTTACATAAATGGCATGGATGTGGCATATAAAAGCTTACTTGATTTTTATCAGGAATATGTTGAAAATTGTTTTTTTTTTCATATAGCGGCTTTTTCAAAAGGAGGCATAGGCAGGGAAATAAAAGTTCCAGTTGGCAACTCTGCGCGCGCTACTACTTTATTGCTTTATACGGTTTTAAAACCTAAACAATTGTAATAGTGCTTAAACTTATTGAAATATATTGAACTTTACTTGTAATTTATTTTTATCGCCTTGCTCTCTGTGTGTGTTGGTCAGCGATCAGCACTTAATACGCTCGTCAAAAAGAGTCTTTCGTGTTTTTTGCTTATTGGTGCTTTCAAATATCTGCTTTGGTTTGCGGGGTTTACAATTTTGCTCTTTGTTTACTGTGTTTTTAATAGTGCCAGGGTTGCTTGTCATTTTAGAGGAACATTTTGAAAAAAGCTTCTCTGTTTTTCTTTCTTCTCAAACTCTATTTTGTCTGTTATTTCCCGACATGGAGTGTTTATTTGTATCATGTCGAACCAAAGCAGGCCCAGATTCTGAGCGACTCATTACTTGTTGGGTTTGTGAGCGTTATTGTCATGCAAAGTGAGTAAGTATTACTGTCCCTGCTGCAGACGCATTCCTAGATTCTTTGAAAAGATTATGTTCGTCATGCCCCGACTGTACACAGCGGGACATTAATTTTTATAAGCTTTTCATCGAGACAAGGAATGGGTTTTTTGATTTGAGCAAAAATCTCGTGATATTGTGCGGCAAGGTTGAAAAAACTGAAACAATGTTCGATGTGCCGCTACCTACAGCACTCACTTTCTCTTCCAGCCTGTAAAAGACTAACTTGTAGTATAGCGTGCGCTATTTAACCTCGATCCAAGCCTAAACCTCAAATATTTATCCATGTTGCTCGCCACCATGGTGGCAAGGATATCTCCCCCAAAAACAATCAATCCTCGTCTCCACCTAGCTGTTTGGATGTATCCACTGGTCACCATGCTGGACAACTCGCACAAGCTTCACAAGCAAATAATGTCTTTCCCTCTGTTTCCTCCCCAACTCGAAATTCTCTACCGGTGATTCCTATCGTTCCTAACAGGAATGACGGCAGTGCAACCCAGAAAGGTAATATGCGCATGAAGACTGACATCTGACAACTCTGAGGATAACATAAAAGGTTATCTTGCTGCAAAAGCCCCGTCCTTTAATTTCAAGCGTGTTAACATTTTCAAATTAGCTCCATCTCAACATACAGCTGGCTCGTCTTTTAAGGAGTTAGTTCCGACTGAAAGCATGGAAATTTTGCTAAATAAAACAATTCATTCCCCGGTATCGTCCCCATAATACTAATTCGGTAGTTCTTCCACCCTCAAAAAACTAAATGTTTCTTTAAGTCCAGTAATTTTCATTTTCCTAAATCCCTGCTGTTAAAGTGATAATTCTGTCTGTGTGGTCCTCATTTTAACGTCTGATAGAGCTATTGTGTTTTTTAATGAATTATTTCCATACAACCGTACTCCTAACTGTAATGGCAGATGGCTAGATTTTTGCTTTGCCGATTTCCCGGAGATAGTTGTAAATCGCCGTGTACCTTTTAGTTTACCTGAGGATTCGTACCATCCAGCAATTTGCATTTCTTTTTATTGGCATAGGCATAATGGTTCGTTGAATTACTCTAACGTGCGAAATCAAACTTTCTCCAATAAACATTTTTATATTAACCAAACCAATATTTTACTGCTTAAATCTCATCTTTCACACATTACGCTTGAGGTTTCTGCTGAAAATATTGAAATCTTACCGTCTTCGTTCTACAGCATATTATATTTAACTATTTCTATATCCGTTCCGATTCAGCAACTTCGCCCTCGAAGCAAGTTTAACAAGACAATTAAATATTACAAAAATGGGAAAATTAAACTTTTCAAAAAATTTCTTAAAAGTGATTCTACTTGCGATTATTTTGCCTATTCTGCTGCAAGGCACAGATTTAATTAGCTCAACAACCAATGTTATTGCAGATAACTTTCGTTGATAAAATCCTCACTGTTTTTTAATCCTAAATATTCTTATAAGTTTGTCAAATTTAAAAAAAAAAATCTCGACATATCCTCCATGGCTCCGAGTCCTCTGGCGATATGAAAACCTTAAACCTCTTTGCTGAATACCTCCGAAGAAATTTTGCAATTTGCGGTTCCGATTTGATTGTTAACTATTTCCGTCTGATCACTAACTCGGTATCGATTCCTAATTTGGTCAATTCAGAGAGCGACGTTTCACATGGATTGAGGATTTAAAAATATCATATATTCTCAAATCATGTTCTAACGAGCAATGTGATCTTACTTCAAAGATTTTTAATGAGTGTTTGAAATCAGGTGCTTTTCCTTTGAATTGTAAAAGTAGTTTCCTTATCCTGCTTCTCAAATATTAAAATAAACATCACTTTGAAAACTATAGACCCCTTGCCAAGTTGGGCATCTTACATAAATTGTTTGAGCGAATTGTTACTCAGGATTTAGCTTTTGCTATTAAACCTTATATTTCTCTATTCCAGCATGGCTTTCTGAAAGAAAAATCAATTCCTACTGATGTCGTATATACTGGCTTCAGTGATTAAGATTTCAGTTGACTTAGTTAACCATAACTTATTGATCTTCAAACTCTGACATGCCTTTGTACTTAGTGAAATGGATAAGCTTTTATCTGCATAACAAGTCATTCAAGTTTCTGTTCGACTTCATCACCTCGGATGAATTTCCCACGACGTGTGGTGACCCGCGAGGCAGCGATTTAAGGCCTCTTTTACTTAATCTATACAATATTGATCTCCCCGCGCTGATTTAATCCAGCCATATCTTAATGAACGTTGACGATGTTATTCTTCTCTTTGAAATCGCAATAGTATCCGCTTCAAATTGACTTAAATAACTTGGTTGCATGGTGCTCATTAAATTTTATTAAATGAAATCTAAAAAAATGCAAGAAGATTTCTTTGTCAAGGAGGAACTCATTTATTATTATTATTATTATTATTTTAATTTTAGACTAATGAAATGAATTCTTAGACTAAAAAAAAGACATTGAGCACTAGCAACACAGGCTATCGGCTCAGGAACTCATTTAACCCTGAGTATTTCATTGATTCACACAAGTTGAAAAACGCTGGTTCGTTCGTCGATTTAGAGGTTCTATTCGACCGACGATTATATTTTAATTTGCAGAGAGCTCTCCTTAAATAAAACTAGGTCCGCGATAGGCGGAGAGGTGACCCAAAGAGGTTAAGTGCCCTTTCATTACAAATAGGCTATATATATAAATATGCTTAATTAGATCAATTTGAGTACGCCTCTGTTGTGTGGTTTTCTCCTCATAGATATTATGTAGATTCAATTGAATCCGCTGAAAAGTAATTCTTGCTATTTGCCTCTAGGAATTGGCATAGGGACTCGCTTGTCTCTCTGCCTCCTCGTGAAAATAGGTTGCTTCTGTTACCCCTACCCTCACTTGAGAAACGTAGATTTATTCTTAATAGTTCATTCAAATTAAATTAATAAATGGTACTACAGATTCGCTTACATTACCTAATCGCTTCTCTAGGCAGTTTATTTTCATTAGGTTTAGTCAATGTAATTATAATTATCAGCTATTTAATCCGTTTAGAGTTGTTTGTAGGAATCTATGCGATATCCGTTAAAATCCATCAAAACACTGTCTTAAGTTGTTTACTGTTATCGGTTGGCAAGCTTTGCATGGTTGCAATGGCTTAGTGCTTCATTCGCAACTTGGATCTGTACCGGTTGTGGGTATGCTTCTGTGCTAGATATGTACATATTTTTTCCCCTTTTTTTTCCTTTTTGTTTCTTATTTATCTGTACATTAATTGTTTTTTTTTTCTTCACTTTTCTTTATATGCTTTGTATTAGTTTTTATAAAATAATTAACATAGGACTTACATCTAAGAGCCAAATGAATTCGGCTGTTGATTTATTTTAGCTGAGTTTGATGTGTAAATAAATACACAAAAAATGAACAAACTAAAGAGCTTTTGCGCCTGCAGTTTAAAAAGTACATCGCAAATTATAAGACTGTACCGACCGCATCGGTGTGCGATTCGCGAATAAAGTTAAAAATCAATTAGATAGTGTAAAATAATTGTAAAGGAAACTTAAATCTCCCCGTTTAATTAAGTAATTCTTTTTTCTTGCTTCTAGTGTTTACGCGTTGGCAAATAAAAAAGCGGAATTAGAGTTTGAGCAACGCTCAATGGCCAGTTTGCTATCAAAATTTCGTATTGACTATTCGGATTTGCAATTGATTCCAGATATAACCAAGAAACCGCAGGAATCTTCCACACAATTTTTTAATGAACTAATGAAAGAATTTACTGTAAGCGAAAAGGAAAATGAATCGGCTAATGCTACAAAAATTCTAGGTGATGAAGGTAAGCAAGTAACAAACTTAAGCTCAATCCCTACTTGTCATTGTGATTGCTGGATACCGAAACGTAGCTTAAAAACCTTAGACAGTGCATACACATATTCGTAGTAACCACATCTTGATTTGATTTGAAGTAAAATGCAAAACCAAACCTAGTCTCCCTAGGTTCCCACAGCTGTTCTTTCCAATAAAATTAAAAACAGTTTAGGCATCTAGCTTACTTAGCACACTTATATTAGTGCAGAAACATGGAATTTGACATTAACATCATCACTTCAGTTCCGAAAAAGGGGTATAATCCGTTCATACGAAAGATAAAATAAACAGGTGAAAATAAAGTAAAAGAACAATTGACATAGCGATTATTAAAAATACCACTTTAGGCGTTACCTTTTCTTATTCTTATCTTTCGCAGGTATGATTAGCGAGGACGATTTGATGGCAGTGCAGGATAAGACAAATCGTTATTTACGTTTGCGCGAATATCTTTTGGAACAGTCGACGAAATCTGATTTGGTTGTGATGACATTACCAATGCCGCGCAAGAATATTGTGACGGCCCCTTTATATATGGCCTGGTTAGAAAGTTTAAGCCGTGACATGCCGCCATTTTTATTTGTACGTGGCAATCAGACAAGTGTGTTAACATTTTATTCATAAAAAAATTTTATTTTTCGAAAGCCGCAACTACTACAAAGACAATAAAGTATTTTTAAATATAATATTATAATTAATTATCGCGCTAAAAATGCGAAAACGATAAGCACAAAAGGACATACTTTTAGTATTTAAAGATGTTTAAGAAGTTTTAGTAGTTTGTTTCCTGTATTCTTTCTTAACCTGTTTCTATCCGTTTTGTAAGAAATTCAAAATCATTGTTTAAGTATTGTATTACTATTTTGCCTACAATGTAATACCATTTCGTTTGGCTCGTCTGTGCTTTTTTTAGTTTTTTAGTTTGAAGTTCTTATTATTTCATTATCTTTTTTATAATTTAGCATAACATTTATTAGGAATTAAACATTAACATTAACACTTTTTTTCTCTCCCTTTGTCTAAAATAATGATTTTGAAACATAACGTAAAATGTTAATATTTAAACGATTTTATAAGCGCACTCACGTAATGGATATGCTGCGGTACCCATGAGAAAGATTACATTTAAATGAATTTTAAGATAAGTTGTAACAAATGAAAATTAATAAGAATAAATTGATGTTTCGTTGGCGTTAATGAAAAAATATCTTTAGAGACAAGGACTATCCAACATTGTTCTTTCGGCAATAAGTTGTAACAGATTATTTAGCTCTTGTTGATGAAAAAGATGCATTTATTTACACGTATTATAAATTATTAAATTATTTAGTTTGCCTTTTTTTGCTCCGTAGGTTATAGAAACCTTGTAGCTCAATTATCATATAGTAAAGGATTTCTAGCCCGTTTATATATTTTTTCAAAATTTTCCTATGCTAAAGGAATAAAATTGCATAGCTATTCAAAAAGAGGGAGAATTGAATACAAAATATAAAAGTTCATCAAAAGTGCATCTTTTAGCACTCATTACACACCTTTGATTTTCAGTGGCACATTTCTTCCAAATAAAATTAAGAACTAAATATTCCACAGTGTCGGCAAAAGTGTTATATGGAGAGTGGTCATGTGAGTGCATCAAATTTCTGTAAAATATCTCAAACAAGAAAACAAGGCAAAGTGATTCTGAATCGATAAGTATAATAAACGGTGGGTCTATCCTAAGTTTTTTGCGTACATTCGCAAAAACTTAGTACATCTTTATACCACAATTAGTCTAAGGTAGGAAAACAAAGATTATGTCGATTTTAAATTTTTCTTTCTTAAATCGTTCAAAAGAGTCATAGAAAGGACAAATTTTACACAATGCCCAATAGAGCATTTCATATATCAAATAAATAAATTTTCAAAACATCCGAATGGAAATTGAGCACAGTTCATAGTATCGTGTGTGCAATGCGGAGTACGCACTGAGAACCACTGAACATACTGGAGATAGCATAACAATCTGAGATGTTTTCGCTGTTTCGAGATAGTTCGTTTATATAAGGCGCGTTAGAAGAACAGGAAACATAATGGACAGGTTCCGACACTTAACAATTGTCACCAACTCACCTGACACATCCTAAAGCAAAATTTTTTTAACTTCGCAACAAAAAGCTTTTCACAAGATGAGACACGAGTTTACTTTTTCCTTGAATTACACATAATTAACGCATTTATAATGAGTCGCGTGGTAAAAATTGAGTTAGTAAATATTGAGTTCTATGAAAATCTAGAGATACTAAAGATACTAAATATTGAGTTCTATGAAAATCTAAAGAATATCATTTTCAGTGTTTTACGACATGTTCGTATCGAACTATTTTTGATTTGTTAAGTGCTTCAAAACGTAAAACAATTTTTTACCGTATGGATGAAAAATTGACTGTAAAAGTACTTAAATACTTAAAGTCGGAAATTATTTTTTAGTTGTCTTATGAACATTTTCGCAAGTATTTGATTAAAAAACTTAGTATAATAACGTAAACAAATAAAAGCAAGTTGTTACTAATATTATGTAAAATTGATTGTTATTCATATTAAAAAAAGTGAATGTTTAGGGAAAAATAGATAGAAAAGAAATGTTAAAATAAATAATTATTTAATGAATAGGAAAATGTTGCCAAGAATTTTGAAGATGGTGCAGATTACAGATTAAATTTTACACAAAACTTGCGTCTATAGTTTTCTAATTGGCATGCAAGCATCTAAGAAACTTCCGTTACGTTAATATTTATCTTTCGGCAACACAAGCAAAGGTAAAAATGACATAAGAATTTGTATGTTGTGTACTTACAGCAGAAAAGTAATACAACAATACGATAAATTGTCGGCCGTCTCACGTGCTATTGATTTTTTATTCCTATGCGTACCCCAAGGATATGCTTAGTTCATTGGCCTTTTAAACCAATTACAAGGGCTGTATGCCGTGTGCAGTAGATATAAAATTGACCAGCGTACGATTTTAAAAAAATTCTTTTACTCACAACTTTTCTGATTCTCTAAATCGCAAAAATTAGGATTGAAAAGTTAAGTAACACATGTTCTTGATGAAACTTCACAAGTGCAAAATTCTCTAAGAAATTGAAATAACTTCCGAAAAATGCTATAGTTTCAATACCCCAATAAATTACAACAAATGTTCGTGTGGGCAAATATTTAGAGAAATCATAGTCATATGTAAAACGAGTACAAAATCAATCCGCTAACTTACTAATAATTAAAGGTGAACTGCACGATCAGTATATAAAATTTGCTTTAAAGCGAATTTATCTTTTTTATTTATCGATCCGCTCTGCTGCCTGTTTAAGATGTTGACTTTAAAACTAAAATAAGCTAAAACATTTTATTGGGCAAATCTGAAGTCTAAACACATCGCACAACTTTGTGTATGACCAAAACCTTAGTATTAATAATGTGCACGTGATAAATATTTTTTTAAGCTTTTACGAAGGTTAAAAAATCACTGAAAAGCCAAAACAATCCACTCTTATATGATTGACCGTAAATCATCAAGCATAAACCCGATATATTACCTGTAGCTTGCACATTACTATCTAATATATTTTCACGATAAAATTATTATTCTGTTAAGGTTTTTTTTTATGGGTACCTTTTTATAATAGAAAAATAGGAAAATAGACGTACTTAGTCCAAATTTAGCATAGTAGATTTATATGCCACTCGTCTACGCCAATTTTCACTATAATATACTGACAATAGTAGACGCTCTGCCGTGTAAAGACCAGTATTTTTGACAAACGTTCGTGTGAGAAACAGTTTAAGAAATGTTTTCATCCTAATCAAACATTGCTCAGTCATTTGGATCGCACAAGTGCTACGTTTTATTTTTTGATTGGTGCTTTTTCAGAAGTATCTCTGCGCCTAAGCATGTTATATGAGTAAAACTTAATGGAAATATCCAGAATATTGTTACATGTAGGTTGAATATATATTGAATGGATACACATCAGACGCGCAGCGTCTTAAGCTTAAGTGAAATAATATTTTAAATTAATATAGTGAAACGTGAATCTATCTCAGATCGTTTTGGTAGTTGAATACATCGAAACAAATGCTAACTTTGTTGTTGTTGGTTTTACTTTTATACCGCAATAGGTGTACAGGGTGCAAATATAATTGTTAGAAAATGAGCTTTGGATGTGCTGTACATTAAACAAATGTACTAGATGCAAGAAAATTAATGGGCTGAATAGACGAATAGAAGATTGAGAGAATAGAAGAATATTTTTGCTTCGACATTTAGAAAAATATGATAAAATTTGGGCAAACAATTGCTTTAGGTTTCAAGCTGGTGATAACTGGATGATAAAATATTTTAATCTATTGCTGTTGTAAGGTTTTCTTCAGATTTTTAGGAACTGTAGATGAATTTGTCAGCGTGTGCTGGTAATAAGACTAATTGTAAACTTAATTTTTCTGCTTAAATAAGAAACCTTTAGTTTTTTATCTCAATCTTCGGGTTTTTGACAATTTAAAGAATGCATATAGGCTGAGGAAAGGCGTCCGCGACTTGAAATCTTCAAGACCAAGAATATGCGTATATTCTATAAGTTTTTGATGTATGTTTCCAGACATAACATATGAAATAACAAAGTTTATAAACCCCAAGCCTAAGCTAATTAGTGCAAGGAGGAGAAAAAAAAATTCCACTAACTGTGAATTCCTTCTCCCCTACACTCCACTTGGAGTATTTGCGCCGTTAATAGAGGAAGAGTTAAAATTTTTTCTGAAAAAGACTTAATTTGTATAAAAGATATTTTAATATAAATATACGTATGTATGATTTGACTAGTTAAAATTATTAACATTTGTTATTGTCATTAATAGTAATAGTTAATAATTAACAATTTATATAAAATTTGCGGTAAATATTTCAAAGTTCATTTCATGACTTTAATGATTTACAATAAACTTTATTATTCAAATAAATATCCTTCACTCGTATAACATTTCATATAATCGTCCCTGAGTTGAAATAAATTTGAACATTTTTGTAGATACATTAAGTGAAAGACAATAAAGAAATTATGGCGTGTTCGTAGCCGTTCCTCTAAAGGCACCTTTTTTATAACATTTTATTTTCTCTTAATATGCTCTAACGTCCATTGCAATTAATATAACTAATAGATTGACTTAGTGTGCGAGATCTGACTATGCAGCTATTAGAAACAAGTATTTTCTAACACTAGTGATTACTTAATATCACGTTTTTATTCAATTTATTTGTTGTTGTGTATTTATTTAACAACTTTTGTAAGTTTTTCTTTGAATTTTTCTTTAAATTAAATAACTGATGCTTTGAAATTTTGTCAATATAAAATTTGTGGCTGCAATGCAAAAAATGAAGATTTCGGCTTCAAACATGGTAGAAACATTAGAAACTCTTGCACGTATGTTATGTAGACACCCCATATAAACAGCGTAAACTCAGACTCACTCGATTTTCTAAAGCAAATAATTAGGGGTTTTCTCGGCCATTATTCATGTCTTAAAACAGATATAACGACCAAAGTTTCTATCTATATTTTATGGATATGGTAGAGTATGGTGCTCAAAGTTAGAATATATCGAAATTTCACTTTTTTTTGTGTTTTCAAGAAGAAGCTGGTGAGTATAAAAGATTCGGCCATAGCCGAATATGATTTATGTTATTTGCTATTACTATGGTAGTTTTAAGATATACAAATTAGAAAATTGAGTTAATTAGTATTCTGTTCGCAGCCTCTGCCTTCTCTCTGTGTCCATATTTGGCTTATATATTCGTTTTATTTCCTCTTCCACACTTACTACCAGAAAGCACACGAACTTGAGTTGCAAATTTTCTTTTGTAAAATTTTCAATTGTAACAATTTTAAAAAACTCACCAAGATGTAGGACTGGAAAATCTAAAGCTTACTAACAATTTTCAGTCTTTTTTTTTGTCAGTGGTTCACCAAAACTATTCATATGAAAAGAGCCGAAAATTTAATTAAGCTACATAAAATAAGCCCTTACCAACCTATTGACGATTTACAAAAATTACATCTAAGGTTTGCTTTAAGCTCAATAGAGTTTTAATCGGTGCCACTAGGTTGATGTAACTGCGTATCTACATCTTGAACTTAGTTTTATTTAATGCATCTAAAACACTTAAAGAATTTCTAAATGAATGAAATCAGAATATTTTTAAAGAAACATTACAAACAATGATCCGGAAGCCAGTTGCGCTCTGGCTTTGTCATTATTATTGTAGAAATAATAAAATGTTTTTTTTTATTCCATAAAACAAAAAAAGTTTGAGATAGAAAAATTTGTACTCTTTTCTTTATTAAAATAAGGTCTTTTGGGGGAAATTTTGGGAAATTATTTTATTAGGGCTGCTTTTGAGACACCATTAGTAATGGAGTATAATCCGTTTGAGCAGCGCTTCATTGAAATTTAAATTAAGTATCTTCTTGTAAGTAATGCACAGATCATTGACAAATGGTGCTAAGGGACGTCAGAATAAATTGTTGTACATGATGTTACAGAAACATTAAAGCCTATAAGGAAGAAATGGCGGAACATAACAGAATTTGATCGAATTTTCTATTTGTATATAAATAAACAAAGACTTCTGTGTTTTACATAAACGTTAGCGACCATGAAAAGAATAAAAGGCAAGGAAGCCTTATTTCAATCTTGGTATCTAACATTCACCCTGATAAATAAAAACTTTCAATATCGTTTTAATTTTTAGAACAATATTTGCCTATATGGCGAAATGTTGAAATTCACTGTTGTTGTAAATCTTTAGTTGGTGCGAGCTTTGCAAGCGGATTTCAAAAGAAGAAATTTTTTATTTGACTAGTAAAATGAAGAAATTAAATGTTTTCATCATAAGCACTTAAAAAGATGGATAGGGGAGCAAACATAAAAAGGCGAAAAATTATTTAACGGACTTAAAATGCAAAATATAACATTACAAACCTGCATCTATTAGATATTCCATAATCTTTGTATTAATCGTACTTGACGTGATTAATTGAACTAAATTAATCCATTCATTTAGTTTCAGAATTTAATGTGTACATTTAATAAATGTTAATTCATTTGTTTGAAAGTTTTTTCCCTTGTTCCATACTGAAATTTCCATTGTTGGTCAAAGGTGACAACAAAACAAAGAATTTCAATTGTAGTGGAATGTGCATTTATATTGTATTATTAAAAAAAATACGACCGATCGCAATTAAAAGTAAACAGCACACGCCTAGACTGGTATGAACTTGAACTGGAAATTTAATGAATGTAAAGTTCAGATAATTAGCTATTTTTGTTAACGCATTCGCAGCATTATGCTAAGCAAACATCATCGTGATTGTGATTTTCAGCTCATTAATTTTATCTCTACAAATAATAAAGCACATGCGAAAAAACATAATTGAATACATGTGTTCGAAGCTGACTAGTTATTCCTTGAATTAGTTTAATTGGGTTGCTATTGTTATATTACATATTATGTTTGATATTTCAGGTACTTCTGTTGAGTTTATTCATCGCTTCAAACGCATTTAAATTAAAAGCAAAGTTTTATATTAATTGTAGGCAAAACGTTTCCGTTAAATTCTACCTCGAAATCTGCTAAAGGTTATAAGTTATTTGATTTTCAAAGTTTCATTTTTGTAAGTACCTTTTCAATTTTTTAATAAATGGCACAACTTTCAATCTACTATGTTAACTTTTTTCCACTTATTCCACTCTATGCTGATATATACGGGCATATACTGATATGCGCATATGTATATTTCATCAAGTTACCATTTTTTTTTTTTACTTTTTTAAAGGAAGGAAAAGTGACTAATACACTCTCCTCCGCCATCTTAAAACGATGTAAATGTCTAGCACAAATTGTATTGGTAAAAGAGAAAATAGTTTATAATTATTGTAAAGCTCGGGTCAATCGAAAAAATTTAGATATATATCGACAACATTTCTGATATCTAAAGAAGGAATTTAATGCAACTTTTTCTCATTTAACACTAACTCGATTTGAATTGAATGTTTTGTTAACGGCCTGATGTTAATAGTTTAAAGTTTGTTTAATTTATTTGAATAATTTTGAAATCTTGCTGAAGCCTATGTTGTACCACAATTAAGTAGTATCTTGGCAAGATACGTTTAATACAAATATGAACATGTGCCAAAAGATAACTTGCAAAGAAGCAAATAGAAACGAGCTAACTTATTTTTTCTAAATAAAACATGATGATAAAATAGAAAACAATATTAGGATTTTCAAAAACAGAATAAAATGTTTTTTGATATCTTTTTCAATTAAAATAAGAATACGTTTGGCATAACTTTGATCATATATAAATATTTTATACTATTATATTAAGGTGCTCGTCCAAATCTTTTATCTCGAACTATTCCAACCAAAGCTTTAAGTAAATTATAGATATTGTTGTTCGCTTTCACATATAAGCATTAGCAGAGCTTAAAGTGATCAGCATAAAACTACGAACTAATTAAATCTTGCCTATGTGTTCGTTAGCGTTAGACGATAGTTTGCTGCAAGTTTTGGTGTAAATATTGTGATAGAAAGCTAGAACTAAGAAATCAGAAGACAGTACTATAAATTTGAATTTTTTTTATCAATATTCCTTTGTCTATAGTAACACAGATCTGGATTGTAACTTTGTCGTATAATTAAGATAGAGAGCACGTGAGAAATCTTATAACTTACATAATGGACTTTTCCGAAAGCGGATAAGTATTTTTCACTTTACTAATTAATTAGTTGGCGTGGCCATTTTTTATATCCTTCACCACCTGTGGTACAAGGTATATTAAGTTTCCGCGGACGTATGTAACACGCTGAAGCGCTTAATATAGACCCAACTTTTATTATACCGACCAATTCACAATCATTCTCTAAGTCGACATAAGTCTGTCTGTGCGTGTGAGGTCGGTCCATGTAAATTTGTGTTCAAGCTACAGGTCGCAATTTTTGAGATATTTCGATAAAATTTAGTACACTGACGTGTTTTCACCCAAGGATGAACGCTATTTAAAATGGTTTGGATCGGTTCAATTTTTTGACCACTCTTTTTTGACCCTATTTTGAAAAGTCGTTATATGGAAAAAATTACAATTTTCAAAACTTTCCCGACAGAAGTCGCTAAGTAATAGCATTTCGGCATTTTAAATTGGTAACCTTTGGACCGGCTTTGGCAAGTTTTAAACCTCCTCTCATGTAACGAAAGCTGAAGTTGATACGACAAAAAAGTCGAATTTTCAATGCTTCATGATAGAAAGCAAATCATAATAAGGATTTAAGATAAAAAAATTAGCTGCACCAAATTTGGACCATCTCGGTCTATTTTTTGGATGCTGCCCTATGTATAGATGTTCACGAAAATTGATTCTTTGTAAGGCAAAAATGTCTAAATTTCAATATATTATAATGAAACTTAACCCATAATGCTGATTTAAGATAAAAAAATTCGCTGTACCAAATTTATATTATATATATATATATACGCTATGTAACGATTTGCACGAAAATTTTTGCTTTTTAGGGCAGACAAAACGAAGTTTTGATATTTTATGACAAAAATTCATTCGTAATTGTAGTTTGATATAAAAAATAACTATGTTGAATTTTGAATAGGTACCACAATTTTTAAACTTCTTGGGCCCAACCATTCTCACGGAAAGTAAGCTTATGTTCGCAAAAAGGTCTAATTTATAATTCGCAGTCCCATAATAAAATTTTCACTTGTTTTAATTTCCTATATAAAAAAAACTGGTCCAATAATTTATGTATTTTTACTACATAAAAAAATTGAGTACATAATGTAAAATTATAATTCTTGGTTCCTAAGTTGTAAAAACAAAATTATATTTAAAAAAAAATTGACGAAGTGAATAACGTCTTCAATGCAAACTTAGCCAGAATTTCGAACTTAGGTGAACTGACCAACGCAGCTGGCGATGTAACAATAAACTTAACAGAAACACTTATCCATTTTACCAACAGTGCAATGCATTTCTTGCACAACAATTTTAACTCTACCTTAGATTCTCGTACTGCAATTATGGCTCAAATGATATCTCTCGCTTCTCCAGCAAGAATGCTTTTTGGGTGGCTTAAACAGCAATATCAATTAGCCTCTTTCAAGATAACCGACAGTGCTCTAAAGGAATTATTACAAAACCTGTCGTATCGAAATGACACCATTATAAAGGCCACTTCAAAATCTTCCTTTGAAAACGTTGATGGAATGGATGATAACGGAATGCGGCGAGAGGAACATGCTCCACAATTAACGACATCTGCGATGATTAAAGTTTACGTTTTATCTTTTATGGCTCTTTTCTCATTGGTTGGCAATATCTTGACCATGTGGAATATTTTCAAGACACGCATTTCACGTCGAACCTCGCGACAAAACTGGAGTGCTATTTATTTTCTTATATTCCATCTATCAATTGCTGACCTTTTAGTGACCGGATTTTGTATAATTGGTGAGGCTGCCTGGTGTTATACGGTGGCATGGGCGGCAGGTAATTTAAGCTGCAAACTTGTGAAATTTTTTCAAATGTTCAGTTTATATGTGTCGACCTACATTTTGGTGTTAATTGGGGTCGATCGTTGGATTGCTGTTAAATATCCGATAAAATCATTGAGTATGGCAAAAAGATGTCATCGTTTGTTGGGAAGCATATATGGACTTTCGTTTTTCTTAAGCTTGCCACAGGTAAGTAGAAAGTATCTAAGCAAAAAAAATTATTCTACGATTGACTTGCTAGCTAACTTTGTAATCTGATGCCTTTCATCGAAATCTTATAATTAATAGGCCTATTATCTTAACAAATTTAATTTTATAATTTTCATTTCTAGTTTTTCATATTTCATACCGCTCGTGGTCCCTTTATTGAAGAGTTTTATCAATGCGTTACGCATGGATTTTACACCGCAGCGTGGCAAGAGCAATTTTACACGACTTTCACATTGATATTTACATTTATTTTACCGCTCGGCACTCTGTTTTGTACCTATTGGTCAACGTTTTACACTATTTCAAGTTAGTATTGGTAAGATAAAACCTAATAAATAACAACATAAGTCCAGCAATACGGATAATCAAATACAACTCCATCTAATTCAATTCTCCGTTCCTTTTCTTCATAACATACCAAAAATTATACTTTGGTTTCACAAAACATAAATTGACGTGGTCCAAACTGCTCGAAGCGAATTTTCTCGTTAAATTTTTAACGTTTTTCACTTATTTTTACCATAAAATATTACAAATTCGACTAGAGGTTTGATTTTCATGGGAATCTTTATAAGGGTAAGAAATAGATCTACATGCTTCGAATCACTATCTTGGACCGACCTTCACTATAAAATATTAAAAGTTAGGCCTTGTTGCCATGTAAGGGCATATATTTCTTGGAGATGGGAGGTCGCGCGAAACGTTTGTAAATTGGGAATTTTAAAGAACACTCAAAAAGTTGCTTGCATAGATTTTAGTCGGGCAACATAAAAATTGAAGTAAGTGGCCCAAATCACTAATCAATGTTAAATCGATTGAAATTTATTTCAACTCGGTGTTTGATACATATGGCGACTTCTTAAAAAGTTTCCATTCCGTATGCCTGCATCGTACCAAAAGCCAAGTAAACATTGCGCGTATTTGTATGTGCATATTATAGCTCGTTGTTATAAAATTCCAAATGCATAAGTGTGTCCTTCAAATTTCATTTTTCAGATAGTGAGAAAATCTTTCAAAATTCTACACAGGACGCTTGCACCACGCAACCACTAAGGCAAAGCAATCGTCAACGTCTTATCCACAAAGCAAAAATGAAATCATTACGTATATCTGTAGTAATAATAATCGCATTTTTAGTATGTTGGACGCCGTATTATGTTATGATGGTTATTTTTATGTTTTGGAATCCCGATATAAGGGTAAGTAAAGGATAAAAAGTGATATTTTCTTGAAAAATTTTAATGGAAACGCCGCGCTTATGATGCACGCAATTAACCTACTGCTAATTGTTGTGCATCTAACAAGATTGACTGTTCTGACTCTACGTCGTGCACATGCATTGTTCAACATTGACGGCATCGCTTGCATATATTGTCGTATTTATGGGCTTTTAATTACTAGTTACAACACTAACAAACGACTAAGTCGCTCATCCTATACTATCCGTTGCGAGTTTCCAGTATCGTCACGAGCAAGCCAGCAAATGATGTTAAATCAGATTAAGATAATAATTCGCAATAATTACATTACTTTTTTACAGTTGGGTGAGGATCTACAGTCAGCAATATTCTTTTTTGGAATGTCGAATAGTCTAATAAATCCTTTGATCTATGGTGCTTTCCACCTATGTCCGACCAAAAGGACTATTAAAAAAAACCGCAACAATGACTTAAATAAGTAAGTGAAACACGCAAAAGCAACTCTGGAGCTTAAGTAGAAAGAGGTCTTTTTTAGAATAGACGAATATTAAAATTGATTATTACTATTTTATTTAACTTAGATTGATTCAATTTTAATTTTTTTTTTTTTTGTTTTTTTGGTATACGAAAGAGGCGTAAATCAAATTTTTTGTCTTTGTAATTTTATTTTACAATTTTCTCTACAATAGGGATTCCTAATATGTACTTATGGAAGACGGTCTTTCAAAAAGAGGTGTCATTTTAAATCACTCACACAGGTGAACCGTTTGGAGAGATATGTGGTAGGTGGTTCCATTCTACTAAAAATAAACGGTACCAACATATATCCACAGTCTCAATAAACATCAATAGTATCAGCTTCAGACCGAAAAGATCAATAAACATTGTTCCGTATGGATCTATTTACAGTATTGCAGACACGACAATCTTGTTCGTTTCTGTACGTAGACGGATGAAAATTAGCCTGCTCACTTAGATTAATTTTGTTTACATTGTCAGCAGCCTGTCAGCCAATACCCAGCGAATATATTGAAAACCTCTTAGCTTGTTCTGTTAAATGTTATTAGAATATCTTTGACAGTTCAAATACTTGCGAAATTTAAGATGACACCTTTTGGGGAAAGAGCCTTTGTTTATTTAATCAAAGCGATCGCCATAATTACTTTAGTCACATTCAATAATCTCTCTCTTTATTGAAATCAGTGGTACGATCTTAGAAATTTTTTTAGAACATCTGATTTGTTCTGATTGGATAAACCTGTTATTATTATTTTATTTCCAATACTGATCGGATAATTATGTTATAAGCCACTTCGGCCCCCTATTTAGGTCTGAACATTGCCGTTAGATGCCGTTACATCGCATTTTCTCAGTAAAAGCATATTTTTCAAAATCTGTGTTATGTATGGAAATATACTTCGCTGAAATAACAATAAAAACAAATCTTTGTCTACATTATATATAAGTTTTTACTTTTTTTTGCCTTTTATTTATTTATTTATTTATGTTTTTGTTTCATTTATTTACTACGTTTTGCTCTAACCTAAAATTCAAACTTTCCAAGTTTCACTTTTAGACGTGATTTGCAGAGAACATCCTCCATGTTGACGGCAGTTTGACTGTAATGGGCGCACAGTGCAAACGTATCGTCAAACTTACTTCTGTCGAATTATTAGTGGTGATAAAAAATAGGACCTTAGCGGAGCGAAGGCTTTAATTAATAAAAACATCGAAGAAATAGCTGGAGGTGTTTGGCACTGCATTTAAAGAGCACCATATTTCTATCGGGGCGTAAAATGAAGCCGAGTTCATTTTCATTTAACGATTTACAAGACTGGTTTAAAACATAATAATTCATTTTTAAGCTTAAATAAATAATTTTTTTATATTGAATTAAAAAAACAGATTCTGAAAGTATTTTAAGTCTCAATCTATCTTCGCATTTACCGGACTTAAATAAAGTAAGAATTATTTATTTTGTTCACACACAGAAATAACTTTGGAAGAGTTTTTCCGTTGCGTTTCGCTTCATTCCATTTGGAAATCGCTTGGAATTCTTAGGTATAACGGATGGTGATACGTGTAAATGTAGTCGTAGACCCCCCTCATTGGTATATTGAAAGCATTGGAAAAATTAGTGAAACATTGCTGACAAACAAAAAATTTAAACGCAATCCTGCCATTCCCTAGAAGTATTCAAAGATGATAGAAATACTGATAGAAATACTATACAGGTGCATTCCATTGGGCTTATCCAACTTGCTTACTAAGACAGCACTCAAGCCCGGATTATATTAAATGCATTTTCAAGTCCCTTAAGTTGTCCTGCATCTCGGAAAGTATAGAGATGTCATCTCTCTTGCTTTTCCTTTCGAGGGCTTCACAGCCCTGTCTAAAAATTACGTCAATTTTTGCATAAAATATAATTAAACCCTGTTGAGATAGCTTTATGAAATCTTGGGTCGCATATTCCATCCTTAGCGTCGCTGTTTTCCATTTATGAACTATTAGCGCAGCATTTGGTTCCTGCTGTTACAAACTTTAAAACTTAAAACCAGATTTCTCTTGCATGATTACTTTGCTATAATACCTACCTTGAAGCACCTATCCCTCGTGTTTTAACATTGCATTCAGTTATTTATGAAGTTTTCCCACAATTCCCTGTAACCATTGAGACGCGACTTTAGTGCGTTCATATTCGGCTATGTAAGAACTCGGTAAAATATTATGCATAGGAAGTCTTGTAAGACATCCAAGGAGCAGGGTTTCATAGCCTCAATTGCACCATGCGAAACGCTGACTTTTGCTTAGAACCGTCAGCACTGCTTTTCTTCACACCTTAGAACAGAGCTTTGTCGACTTATAGTGATATAAGACCATAATGTCGTTCTATTGATTGCGCGCTATGTTTTACTGAAATGGCTCTGAGTCAGGTGCTTAAACATCCTATTTCAGCTAAGTAGTTAAGTATACGTCGTTTAGAGTGATTGTGAGATTTACCTTCCTACAAAAGGCCACCAGGCCCTTGCTAACGCCGAGTGCCAGGAAAGCGACGTAAGAAGGTCTTTTTTAACCTGAGTTCAAATAAGAGGGGATACTACTTCTCTTCAGGGCTACCCCTAGTGGTTCTAATCGGCACTGTTGTACGTAGGGAGTAGTATACATATACGTATTTGTATACGTTTGACTTAAAGATGGAAACATTTAGAACAGGGAATATCACTATTGATACGCTATTCCAAAGGCAGACAGTGGTTTCGAAAAACGACAAGTTTCTGTAATATGTCGTGCGATATGCGTGTACGTTCAAAGCAAACGGATAAGGACGCTAAGGAAGCCAAAAAGTTAATTGGTGAATAAATCTCTTTTATCTCTGTAAAGCACCTGTGCTATACATACGCTCAACACTCTTTACCCGGTGCTCAAGAGTATGAAGACACTAGAGACCTCCATGTAAAGGACGCCATGTGAAACTTCGTCACTCCCGACCACACATGCGAATTGTACCTTACTTGTAGTAGTCTGAAATTATTCTTTACACCGCTCTAACAAACTAAACTTTTCACACTGACCTTCAATACGTCGAACACATGTTCCGTCCAACGAAGATGATTTTGTATTCGCATACCCAGAATATCAAGAATAGTTGATGCTTCTACATTGGCGCCATCATAGGAGTCATCACTTTCATCACTTTTCTATTGTCTTAGTAGACAAAACGAGATTTTGGCGCCCTATTTGTTTGCAAGATAATTTTGCACGATTTTTATTCAGTCGTAATCAGCTCATTACGCAAATGATATTTATTTGAGTTAGGTGGTCGAATAATTGAGAACTATTGCTGTGCTGAGGTACATAAAAGCTCAAAGTAACTATTTATGTTAATATATTTTTATAATATAAATTGATGTCTTGCTGTTGTTAATTCGTTACAGCCGTTATGTGCTGTTGCCTTTTGCTGCTAGTACTTAGTGGTGTCCAAACCATATCCAAACGAATTGAATTGATTTTGCAGATCAAAATTTTCTCCAATATACTCGAATAACGTGAAACAGTTGAGTTGATTTCTTTTCTAATTCCTTTACATCATTTCCCTGAACATTGTTTATTATATATATTGTATGTGCTTTCGTTATTTACACAGAGGTTTTTTTCAGTTTTTCACAAGAAAATAAGACGGACGGACGCACAAGCAGACAGCCAAGCTTAGATCGATTGAAAACTTGATTCTGAGTCAGTCGGTGTAATAAGACCTGGGTCCGTCTTGTGCGTTGCATACATCCACACAAACTTAATGTGGTGATAAAAAGTCATCTAGGGATGGAAAAAGGTCCAAAGTAACAAATCCACAAGCAAATGTAACATCTTTAAAGGTTTTTGAAAAGGGTGCCAAAATTATATAATTTACGCCGGCTTCTGATGAGGTAAATCAGTTACAAAGTTTCTTAAAAAAAAACTTTGTTAAATATTTTTTTACCTAAAATTTCGCGTTGCTTACGATAGCATTTTGTCTAGAGAAATAACGGTCCAGCTGGGTTCCTCAAAATGTATCGACTTTGGCCGTCTATTTTTCACCCTATTCATAGATAATTTCCCACTTGTCGTTATGTACCCATATGTTTGAAAGTAGGGTGATAATGTAAAGCTGTGCTTTTGACTAACTATTAACAGCAAATTTGTTGTTAACTTTGAACAAAATATTGGAATATCTACGTATTTCGTTGTCTCTTATATGAGACTCTAAGAAAATATGTAACTCACAACTGAATGCACCAAACAAAAAACAGCAAAAGAATTTTTTTTACTGCGAAATGTGCAGTATGTAAATGTACATGTATCGGAAATTTTTTGATCGATACTTTACGAGAAATCTATCAGTGCAGCCATCTACCGAAAAAATAATGAATTTCTTTTTCCCCAAACTAATATATACGTCTTAAGTGTTTATATGCAAGCGCATTTAAATATATGAGTTCGGATTTTAAGCCAATAAAAGTGTAATTTCAAAAATGATTTTTTAAATATTTTATTTTCTCATATATACTTTAGAATTGAAAGTTTAGAGAACCAAAATTTGAAGAAAATTGTTCCATGTACAAACGGAAACAAAACAAAAAAGTGTGAATTTGTGAGAAGCAAGCGGAATATCGGTTTAGCTACTCATAATTAAAAATGGCCGCTTTATTGCTCACTATTCGATGAGACTGTAGGTAATCGCGTGGCGTATAATCTTTCTGTATATCATGATGCCCTCTCGGAAAACAAGGTTCAATGTTTGCATGTTTTGAAAATCACACTATTTGAAGTCCACGAAATAATTTTTATTTTATTACTTTTTTTGTTTAGAATGATATGATGTGATGATAAACGTATAATTTCAACCTATTTATTTCTGTGTAATATTGTCGTTGTTTACACTATGTCCTGTTTTTATCCAACAAACAATCCACGGATGTTTACACTCAAGACACACGCGCAAAAACCTTCATGAAAACAGGGTCACAACCATCGATACTTTCTTATCGGGTCTATAATTTCGTGTGGGGCACCCCGACGATGGTTCCTCAGAGCCACAACAGTCTATTTTTCTCCCATGAAAGAAAAATGAAACTAGCGCCAAATATAATAAATCACAAAAGTTCGTGATTTCCTACTAATATAGGAAAAATAACGTTACAAAAATGAAAATAAAAAATTAATGAAAGTTAGATAAAAAAATTGAACATAAATCATATTTTTTTCCAATATTTTTGAATTAATATAAAAATAAAATACAGAATGTAAATATTAGTTTGGGGAAAAAGAAATCCATTATTTTTTCGGTAGATTTCTCGTAAAGTATCGATCAAACAATTTCCGATACTGTACATTTACATACTGTACATTTCGCAGTAAAAAAAATTCTTTTGCTGTTTTTTGTTTGGTGCATTCAGTTGTGAGTTACAGCGTGTTAAAAATGGAAGTGAACAAAGAGAAAATTCGGTACATTTTACAGTTTTTCTTTGACAAAGGCGAAAATGCAAGCCTGGCGGCTAAAATTGTGAATAGTGTTTATGGTTCCGATACTGCAACAGCCAATTATGTGCAATTTTGGTCTCGTAGATTCCGTTCAGGAATTTTTGATGTTAAAGATGCACCTCGCACAGGTAGGCCGGTCGTCGAAAATGTCGATAAAATCGGAGAAATGATCGAAGTTGACCGGCATGTTAGCAGTCGTAACATCGCCCAGGAACTAAAAATCGACCATAAAACAGTTTTAAACCATTTACACAAAGCTGGATTCAAAAAGAAGCTCGATGTTTGGGTCCCACACCAATTAACAGAAAAAAACATGATGGATCGAATTTCCATCTGCGAAGCCTTGGCCAAACGGAATGAGATAGACCCATTTCTTAAACGGATGGTGACTGGAGATGAGAAATGGATCACATACGATAACCCTGTGTGAAAACGATCGTGGTCAAAGAGCCGTGAAGCACCTCAAACGGCCAGGAAGGTTTTGCTATGCATTTGGTGGGACTGGAAGGGGATTATTTATTATGAGTTGCTTCCATATGAACAAACGCTAAATTCTGATCTCTACTGTCAACAACTGGACCGTTTGAAGATAGCGATTGATCAGAAACGGCCAGAATTGGTCAACAGGAGAGGTGTCGTGTTCCACCAGGACAACGCTAGGCCACACACTCTACAGTGACTCGCCAGAAACTTCGAGAGCTTGGTTAGGAAGTTTTAATGCATCCGTCATACAGTCCGGACTTGGCACCAAGCGATTATCATCTTTTTCTTGCATTGCAAAATTTCTTTAATGATAAAAAATTGGAATCTAGGGAGGATTGTGAAAATCGACTACTAGAGTTTTTTGCAAATAGAGACCAGGACCTCTATGAGAGAGGCATTTTGAAGTTACCTTTAAAATGGCAACAAATCGTACAACAAAACGGTGCATATTTGACCCAAATCGGACAATCCGAAGCATGTTAAAAAAAGTCCCGAAGTTCATATAAAACTCATGGATTTCTTTTTCCCCGAACCGATATATATGC